CACAGAAAACTACCATTGTATAGATTATGTTTATGAGTCACCTTAATTACATATGCAAAACACGCCTTGGGGTTGTACTCCAAGATAGCGGCTTAATAAAATAGCGGAAGTGCCGTGACGTCAGATGAAATGGGTCTATAGTAACTTCCATGTTTCCAGTAGTACACCTTGATTCTGAATGGAGATAAAATGTTTATGTTAAAAATAACATGCGTATCAATCACAGAGACGGCCGGGGAAAATAGCACGAGAATATCACATTTACTTGTGACATTTTTATATGAATGAGGGTATTTTTTTATATTACGACACTAAACAGCCCGGTGTAACGTGAAGGGAGAGTGGTCACAGAGACAGCTTGGGTAGATCCTTATGCCGTCGCTGACATTTTACAGCTTGGATCTTATGGTGAAGTGGACATGTGCTACAAGTAACGATATTGATTGTTTTAATTGACTCATTTAGAAAGACAGGAACTAGATTTGTAAACAGTTTTCATGATACCATCGGAATTAAGGGGCGGATTAAAACACATGCAGTGGTACGGAGTGATAGGTCCCATTTTAAACACGTAGAAAGTGGTTCGTTGATTTCTTGTTGAGTGTCTTATTTTGTATATCGTTTCACAAAACAAAGTCAACAAAAGCCTAACGATTAGGGTAATGCCTCCATTGTGAATATTACTCCTTTTCAGGAAGGAAATTATATTGAAAGTGCTGTACTGACCCCTGAATGCCCTCCCCAGCAATACACACGTATCATCCATGTATTAGAACAGTTTTACAACCTCATCTGTCGGTAAAACCGTAAAATACATTGATTAGGTCTGCTAATATTTATTTGAAGTCCGCATATAATTATTTTATGTCTGCTAATAATTATTTTGAGTATGCTAATAATTCAGCAAGGTCTGATAGTAATTGTTTGAAGTCTGCTAATTGTCATTTCATGTCTGCTAGTAATTCTTTTAAGTCTGCTAATAATTGATTTAAGTCTGTATATAATTCTTAGTGTGTATGTCAATGATTTTTTTCAGTAAACATATAGGTGTTAATGGTTATATGATTTTAGCATTGGGTTTTTTGACCCAATAGCACCTTACCTGTTTATTCTTTGTGTAGAAATTCTAGCTATACGTTAAAGAAACAATAAAAATAATAAAGGAATAGAAATTGACAACTGTCCAATACTCCTGTCACAATATGCAGATGACACTTCCCTTATCCTAAACGGATCAGAATGCTCCCTCAAAGAATCCATTAAGGAACTAAATTTATACAAACTTGGGGTGTGGAACATTTTACACTTCTGGGTATTGATTTCCATGTTGATTTGTTTAAAATTGTTTAAGTTAATTATGACAAGAAACTTGTTAAACTCAAATCTCTTATCAAATGTTGGAGCCGTAGAACTATTACTCCTATTGGGACAATAAGTGTAATTAAATCTTTATTGATCTCCCAGTTCAATCATCTTTTTATATCTCTTCCCAACCCGGATGAATCTTTCATCAAAAAATTGAATTTGATTCTTTTTAACTTTCTGTGAGGTGGTGAAATAGACAGGATTGAAAGAGAGGTTATTGTACAAACTTACATTGAAGGAGGCCTGAAAATGATACAGATTGATACATATATAGAGGCTCTCAAACTTGATTGGATCAGAAGAATTTTCAGATCTTCAAGTAAGTGGCTATTGATTTTGAAAAAAAAAATGTGAATATTCAGATCTTAGCTAATTGTGGGAGGGAATATTTACTCCGTGCAAAAACTAGATGTAAAAATACTTTTTGGGAAAATGTTTTTCAAGCTTGGTATAAATTTAAAGTTCAAGAAGAACTCTTCTGAAATGATAATGAGTCCATACTTAAATTGCCTCTATGGTTTAATAAAAACTTTGACATAGATAATAAACCGCGTTTTTATGAAAAATGGTTTAATGCAGGAGTGAGAGTAGTACATGATTTACTAAAAGATTCTAGAAATTTTTCATTTTATGATTTTAATGAATTTTGTAATGTATATGGTCTAGTTACTAATTATTTACAGTACTATGGAGTAATCCAAAGTATAAAGAAATACTTGAGGCCTGTTTTTCCTCTAAGTGGATTGTTGATGTATCCCTCTGTCCCATTGAGTCTTGAATCGATTTTAAAGAAAAAAAAAGGATCACAAGACTTTTATCGACTGCTCATTAAAAGTGATGTAAACATTACAGGTCAACATAAATGGGGAAATATTTTTGATTACAGTAAAGAGAAATGGAAAAAAAATATACAGTATTCCGTTTAGATCAACTCAAAACACTAGACTCCATTGGTTACAATTCAGGATTAATCACTTTATATTAACAACCAACTTATATGAACACAAAATTGGTATCTCAAACAACCCTAACTGTAATTTTTGTAATAGAGAAAGGGAGACAATTGTTCACATGTTATGGGAATGTAGTAAAGTTCAAAATTTTTTTGTCAGTTTTGAATCACTATTAGACCTTCTTACAATAGTGTTTCATATAAATAAAGAATCTATCTTATTTGGTCTGGTAAATAATACTGGCATCTACAATCGAGTAGATAATGAAGTACTTCTTATTATTAAATCTTATATCTATAGAACCAAAACTGTACATAGTACATTTTCGGTAATGGCTTTAGTTAATGTTATAGAAGAAAACTATACTGTCCAAAAGTCCATTTCAACTGGTAAAGGTAATTCTTCCCTACAAATCTTTTCAAATGAATGGAGTAAATGGAAAAAACTAACAGATATTGCTTAAAACTCGGCAGTTTTCAGGCTGATGACTTCTTCACTGTTCCTTTCATATCATGCGTGTTCTAATTTCTCCTTTGTCGTTCTTCTCAATGCCTTCCTCTTGTCTTCTGCTCTTACACTTGTCACTACTAACGCATACTTCTCTTCTATTTTCTTTTTCTTTTTTTCTTTCTTGTATGCTTTGCAACACAGTTGCTTTGTTGTAGAAGTATTTGATTATTTCCATGGGTTGCAGAAGCCCTCCTCTTAGATAAATATCTCAGAATATATGATAACTTATTTTTTTCTCTCTTACTCTATTCTATTCTTTCACTTTCTTCTTCCTCAAAAAAAACAAAACAAAACAATGTACTGTAACACTTCTATACCTCCCCACAACAACATTTCTCTATGATAATATTATAAATGTAAGTATGCCGATATAGCTAATATGACTAACCACTTTAGAAGTGGTTTGTTGATTTTGATATTTATACACCTGTAATATATATTTGTATACCTACACTGTATTTGATTTACAGGTGTGGTTGTAGGTACATGTACGTAAGCTTGTATGTGCGAGTGCTGTGTATGTACATGATGCATATACATATTTATTATATTTGCTGTTAGGTGTGTGGTGCACGTATGCTTTACATGTACATATTATGTGTATATATGCAAGTATTCTCTTGATGTACATCTGTATGATGGAGGTGAAAATGTATGTTTGTGTGGAGGAGTGTTTCTCACATATATACCTAACTCTGTATCAGTTCATTTTAATGAATAAAAAAAAATTAATTATAAAAAAAAACATATAGGTCTTAATGGTTATCTGATTTTAGCATTGGGTATTTTGGCAATCAAACTATTTCTGTATACTATAATTGTGCTTATTACATGTATGGTATGTTGCGTGAAAAGCAAGAATTGTGGATGCGCTAATTCGTCGTTTTCGCCTGAAAACAGGTCGATAATTGTATATTTACATTATTGGTAAATTTCCCAAAAATGATCACGGTTGATTGAGTCAAATGTAGTACCTTAACAGTGATTAGTTAAAACTGATAATGACTATATTGGTTGAAAACCTCAGATCACACCCCTTATATTGGGTCACATTAAAAAGCAAAACGGTGTAATTCATTGACTTTGGAAGCCTCAAAATACCAACCAAAAATAAGAAAAATATATAAAGGCCAACCATGTGAAAGCTTTAGGTTTATAATGAGCAAATAAAATATTGATAAAAAATGTAACAAAAATATATATGAATACTAAATGTAAGAAATAAAAAATGAAGTTCTTTCTGTCCTATACATTTGCTTCCTTCAGAAGCTCAACCTTATCTACCAGCAGATTACAATAATTCAGAAACACTATTGATTTGACACACCTGTCAATGATACATAAGAGTTGAATTCACATCTAATTGGAAAAAAATGAACTGGCCACATCGATTTTGTATTTTCTTTACAATAGGATTCAGTAGATTCCGCAACATATGTTATTCATTACTAGTCGAACCAGGTGGCGGAGACATCCTAGAGTGGTCTTGGCACCCAGCATTGTTGGTCTTTATCTATTCTTTCAGTTTAATCTATTGGATTCTTTTCTACTGTCTCTCCTTTGTTCTTGCCCTTAATTATATGAAATTTGAATAATTCCTTTAAAGCAAAAATATGATAATAATCTTTTTCAAATGCAAGGTAAATGTCTGTGGATCGTTTCGTTTTTCTGATCAGTTAAAAAATCAAAAGGGCACAAGCTATAGACCTTGGGAACCTACACATAAAATTTGAGAACGATAAATCCAGAACTACTCTAAAAACACGGTAATAAACATTCAAAGTCAAAATCCATGATTGCCAACTGTCATCAATTTTGTTTATTTGATCAGTCCCAAAATAAAAACGGAACTAGAGATCGTATATATCCAGAACTTTCAAGAAATAGCTATAACTATATTTCAATGTCAAAATCCAAGATGGCAACCTGTAAGCAATTTTGTTAATCTGAACGTTCCCCAAAGAATTTGGTAGAACTAGGGATTTGAAGACCCGTCCAGTAATTTTCAAGAAACAGATATAACGATATTTTATTGTCAAAATCCACGATGGCTGCCTGCAAGCCATTTTGAAATGCATTAGGACTTAAACAATTGACTTTTATGGACATGATTTTTAACATACAGCTGGTCTTCATTCTTTTTTTCAATTTCAGTAATTTTCGTAAGACAGGTTTGACAATACTTTTTTATTGCAGCATCAAAAAGTTATGAAAGATGCATACATTCAATGATATATATTTTTGTGTAAACAACTGAAACAGCAGCAAAAATGATTGGTAGATTTTCTTTTTTTTCAAGGAAATTCCACTCAAGCTGTGCACATGTACAAAATATCATTAGTGTGATTTACAGGAGGTTTTTTAATCATATCACAATGCAACAAAAATATTCAATATAATGTAATATCCAAGTTTTATTTGCCAATGAAAATTCATAACAAAAATTAATAATGCTTACCACATTCCCAAAACTACAAAGGTATCTTGTATCAAAGAAACTTCTCTGGACAAACAGATTCTTTTGAGATCATCCTCGAGTAATAAACCCTAAACTGTGTGAACCTATTACTACTATAAACAAAGCTGTGTCTCATACTCGGTACAAAAGTATTGTACAATTCATACTTTTATGTCATTCAGTTCAGATACTGATAACCTACATATTTCAGCAGAAACGATTCAGCTCTTTTCAAGCTGAGGATATCCGCCCTGAAACATAATGGTGTCAAATTTTACTTTCCGTATTTTGTCTTTATAGCTACAATTGTGGATGCATTCGTTCATCTTTGTACTAAATTGCCAAAAAGTAATAATGCCCTTAAATTTGATTGTGTCAAATTAAGTACCTTAACAGTAGCCTTAGCCAAACTAAAACAATCAAACTTCGGGTGAGTTTCAACGAAATTCAACAGAAAGAACAGAAATAATCTCAGACCATATGACTAGTAGCAAAACTGAGCAAAAACAGGTAACAAATAATCCTTTCCCTTTTTCAGTTAAATCTCACTAGCTTGAACACACAGCTCATCCATCACATTAATTTCTTTGTTTTCATAACAGATCACACAGTTTCTTGTTCATGAACCTGTATTTTACATCTTAAACAGAAATATACCGACAGATTTTTCAAAGATTCTTGTAGAGGCCAGAATGAAAGCTTGGTATATTGGTTTCCCAAACCTGCAGATACATTCAATTCAAACTTGTTATATTTTTACTCTAAAAAGATTAGAGTTACGCATCCTTAATTCTGCCCCTGGTAGCGCTAGTAGTTGCATGGCTTATTTGTCAATCAGAAAGATGGAAACTCAATTACACAGATGCTCAGTTGTTTCTTAATTTGCCAATAAAACAATTCACATTCTAAAACCTGTAACATCCAAAATAAAGTATTGGCAACTACAGTATAAAACATGTTTTTAGATCCCACAAGTTTTTAAGAATTGCATAATAATGAGGTTTGATGGTAAGTAAATTTCAACATTTAAGATAATTGTTTTAACAAGGACTTGAAATTTGCATAATGATGAAGCCCACCTGTTCAGATTATTTTTAATATTTCAGCTAATAGTTTGGATAAAGAGGTAAAATTTGCACAGCTGAAAAATGGGGGACTATATATAGCCCCTTAAACAACTAGAACTCTGGCAACACTTAAACACATATATACTATGATAACAGGGAAATATAGATATTAACGATACAACTATTGACTTGTTTTCAGGTGAATATGTGGATTTATTAACCTTGGAAGATCATGTTTCTCAAGGTCAGTGAAAACATGGTGATAATTGTTTTATCATATGATAATAATCTGTGCTTCTGATTGGTCAAAAATTAAAAAACAAGTTAACAGATGTTTACTTGAGAATTGCAAAACAGGGTTTTGGTTTATACTCACCTCACATGTACATATCCTGCCTTTTGCAGTGTAACACTGCAGTATATTCAGACCTATGCTTTGACTAATCAGCACACGGGAAAAAATACTCCATGAATTTACAATATAAAAATGGCTCATATTCTGATGACTATCTCATTTACAAGGGATATTTGATTATCAGAGACAGGTGAAGAATCAATCAATAATATATCTAAACCTGAATTCAAAATAGATACCCAGATAAATACAATCTTGTGAATTTAAAGGCCTTGAAGCAACACCATAGAAGCACTGTGTATATACAAAGCCACTTACAAACAAAACGTCAGTCTTAAAGCAACACAATCTGCAAACAAGCACAGGTATAAAGAATATTTTTAAAATCTCACCTGATAATTACTTACATTGTATATAATACATGCATAATAGATTCAAAATGACAGTAAACAAACCAATAGCTTAATGTTTGTCATCAATTCCAGATGTTAGTCACCAATCAATTTTTAACACGTGATACCAACCATGTTTACTTACTTGCCAATGAACACATTTATACAACATTTTGTCTTTTAGATCTTCTTTCACACCAAAAACTCAACTCATTCATACAGATAAAGCAGTCTTTCAAAGTTTCCAACCCTTTTTCAGTGATTTCATCCCATCCTTCTACACTCAATGGATTACAAATTTCATATACTCTAAATTTAGCCCCTTAGCCCTGTGATGATCTAAGTTACAATTTTGCTTTATTATACAGTCATTCTAAATTAAATAGTGAAAAGTTGAAAGACTGAGATAAGAAAGAAAGTGATGTCGTAGCATATACTCAATTTATGTTTAAGTAGGCGAGCTGAAAATCTGTCATGGTCTTCAGTATATATTTGGTTACCTCCCTTTAATTCATTTAATCTATTGTCAATATTACAAAAATAATTTTCATCTATACAACAGTTTTGGTGGTCATAACATTGCCTCCAACATCTCATATATCTCCTTTGTTGGATAAACAAGTTCAACAATTAGATAATTGCATCTTCAACCTATATCTGACAATCATTTTCAACAAATATATTTCAAAGTAAAGTTTTGAGTTTTTGAAAAGTCATTACCTTGTATATGTACCATTTTTTGATAATTACTCCAATACAATGTTTCATCAAGTCCCCATGTCCTAAAAATTTTAATAACTGCTATTTTTTTCTAACTTGAGAAATAAAAATCACCTCAATCTTCTTTCTTTTCACTGATGTGTCAACATGTCAACTTTTAAAGTAATGTCTTCACCAATGTTGAAAGAAGTATCATGAATTTTTTTTACATTAATTTGTATATATTGATGTGTACCTACTGATACATGGGTATCTTTTTCATACCTCCATCATGTCTGAAAAGGAGGAGGTAGCTATGTCCACAAGCTAAGCATGCTAAAGTGATATGAAACCTGCTTGTGGACATGCACCTAATCATATGAAACATAATTGTTTTTAAAGTTTTTGTAATTTGAAGTGGTTTTTTACACAACGTATCTGTATCAATTTAAATGTATCAGAATGGATAAATGTGAAATACACATGTATGTTAATGTGTCATCTTTGTATGAAAGAGTGCAGATTACAGTATAATGGGACATGTATGTACATTGTGGGGATTCATAACCATAAATGTATGAATATCAATCATTTGTTGTTTATACATCTAGAGCATATCTAGGCATATGAGCAATATAGTGTATACAGCTATGTGGAGCACATGTGTACATGAACAGTATGTTGGAGCATGTACGTATCACATAAGTACAGCTACAGAGGTTACATTTATAAACATGTTTATTGGTACATATGTGTTTACTTGGGGCCCATGAGGGGTACATGTGTACATGTACAGTATATTGGAGCATGTATGTATCATATAAGTACAGTTACATTTATAAACATGTTTATTGGTACATATGTGTTTAATTGGGGCCCATGTGGAGCACATGTGTACATGTACAGTATATTGGAGCTTGTGTATATGTTACAAAATATGTTTAACAACATCTTCATATGAAAACAAAAAATACACCAATTTGATTGGTGATAATCTGTCCAACCATAAATCATTCTATATACAGTTTACAAGTGCTTACAGTGAAAAAATTCAACCCATTCAAAAACATTCTGCCGTGCCTCGTAAAGCTCAATCTATAAACTTCTAGTTACAAAATATATATATATACCAGTACAACAAAATCTCCAGTCAACGTTAGGCATGTAACATATATACTAGCATATCTCTTATATACTCTAATAAACATCCAATTCAACATTTAGGCACTTCTGTCAAACAATGAAAAGAAATCCCCTTAATGGTTTAAATTCAACAGATAAAAAAAAGAATTGCATACATTCTTTTTTTTTTTACACTGGAATGTCCAGTTAAAAAAACAAGTTCTTTTCTATGTAATATCCAAAATTACCACACATGAATGAATATCACAAAACAGTCTGTTACAGCAAGTATCTATGTATGAAATTATTTAACCAGCATATCAGAGAAAGAATATGACATGTACATACCCAGGTACTTATGTAGGTATTTACAAAGAATATCAATGCTGGACTGTTACATTCTACTTCCATGTTACACCTTGCATGTCATTCTCTTTATACTGTTGGAATATTGTATGAACAGTACTGAATGTTTATGCCAATTCAGGTCCAGTTTCATTAGTAATGGGCATTCGTTTATCAAAGTCAGGGGTGGGCTAATTGCAGGACAATGAAATAGCACTTTCTTGCAATTAAACTGAACATTAATTGATTACGGCATATGGATGGCCTTATTATCGGACATGGGCTTATATAATACAATATATTAATGATAGATCTACATCGATGCCAGTGAAGGTCAATATAACAGGTCATAGGTCATCATGATCTCACTATATCAATAACTTGTGATGAACCTCTTTTTGCATTAATGTTGGTATTTGTTGTATCCAGCATGACGTCAAACATATACATGTTCTTAAAATTACTAACACAAGTTTTATTAATGTGAATAAATATGTGTTTCTGATATAAGTATGATTCTCAAAAGTATACTCTGGGTAAATATTAAATGCATTCACCATATTTAGTTTTAAATTTGAAAATATACATATTCTTCTAAACATTAAATAGTTTTTCTTAACAATCAAAAATATGATTCTTTGGAATATTGCAAAAAAAAATCCTCCCTCAGTTTGTAATAAATGGTTAAAGGCGTTGATCTAATTTTCATCATTTAGTTTCTAATTCTAAAATTACCCCATCTGATCTTATAACATGAATTGTTGCTCTTTTTATAACCTGTGCACACACTAACACACACTAAACACCTGAAACTCGGTTCAATCTCTAGTCAGTTAAAATCTCAAAAATCTCCATTAGAAATACACACCAACCATCACTATTTTGGGAATCTACTTTTACAAGAGGATCATATCCCGACAAATTATACATAAAATATGGAAAAATGACAACATTTACATTTATTTAACATAAACAGCACTGTAGGAAAGTGAAGGTCCATTTCATCACCAAGCATATACTACTTTTTCCCCAAAATTTAAATATGCCTGTTCATCTTTTAACTACATAAAGCTAACTTTCTTTTGCAGATGACTTATAGAATGCATATTGGATTCAAATTTTACAGCATATTTTCATTGTGCTGAATTTTTCTTTTAGATCACTTCAAAATTTGGTTGTCCAGTTCTGAATTTCAAAAACAGGGAAAATACAGTTCTTTGCCATTATCTTAAATAATATTTTATAAAGTTTCACAGGTATCAAATCTGCCCACAGAAGGAAAAAAATGCCAATATGCAGATTTAACAGTGTGTCATTCATTTCTGTTGATATGCTGTCAGAAATGATACGACTTGTTTCTATGGCAACAACTAAAACAGACGATGAAATAGAAATCTTAAAAAATGCATGGATAAAATGTTGAGTAAATGTTGGCACACTATGTACAGACTGTAGGCTTAGATATGGTAATAATGGAAATTACATAAAAAGATGGACAACTTGTGAAAAGTCATTCACACAATCTGATGTCTGCCTGTGTGTGCTGATTACTTTATCCTTTTTCTCTTGAGACCATAAAATGTTTTGAGCAGGTCACAAAATAGTCTTCCTGGCTGAGATCAACATCAATGAAGGCAACTAAAATGTACTTTCACTCAACTTCCTTTCTTGTTGAAATAGAAAACTGCACCTATGGCCAAGAAACAGATTCCTGCGATGGCCCCAAGAGTCTTCAAGCTGACTGATGGCATGTACTTTAAGGCTGCGACCTACAAGAGAATCATAACAAAGAAGATGATAATTTTTTTGATAAAAATATGGGGATAATTTTTTAGAATTGTCCACTCCCTATGCAATGAGACCAAGGGATCTCAATCCAAGCATGGAGGAAGATTATTGACTTGGCCGACAAGAGGCTTGAATTCTGTTTGACAACTTCAAATTCTTTCCTCAAGGTCCAAGATCTCCTTATCTCATCCGGCAGGGGATGAATGATTGCTTTTCTGTTACACTTTTGTCCATCAAATGCATGCAAGATTGTCAATATCTCATGGCTTGGTATGGACATAATGGTATTTGAATCGTGGATTAACTTCACTAAACTATTATCGAACAATTGATACCAGGATCTAACAGAAAGCCACCTCGTCAACTAGCTTCCGAGGGGCAGCAATTTTAGGTGGGCTGTTATTTGGGATTAAAGAAAATAAAAATTTTGTGTCCACATATATATTAATCTATATCATATTTCCAGACGATTTGTTGCAGATCCTTTGCAGCAGTGCACGAAAGGTCAGAGACGCCAACTGCAAAAACCCTCCACTTGTTAACAATGAGACTGTAATTCATGCTATCCATTGTGTTGTTTCTTTAGTGTACACTAGCAACATAATACATTGCCTACCTGTCATGTTAACTGAGACTTGAAACACTACATCATTTACTGTTGAATGGTTTGTGTCAAGCCATAGTACAATGCGGAAATTTGTTCAGTGTTCAATAGGCACTTTACAGGAAAATGCTTGTAACCAAACATACATAAGATGATGAAGAATATGTATGGGGCCTCTGAAGGGCGATTTCTTGTTATCGGGATTATAATGCTTCTTTCAATAGATAAGAAAAAAATTTGATGTTACTTTTTACTTACATGACTTTTGTTTATTTGCTGCAATCAAATGGGATTTTAAGAAAACATCAGGTCTGATTTCCAGACGGAAAGCTTCATAAGTCAATCATGAAGTAGCAATCAAGCATGACCCAGTACACATGTCATATTAAATGGGATGTATCTTGATTTACATATATGAAAATTTGTTACATATAATTCCAGCTATCTTTATAGTATAATATTCAAATTTCACACAGAATGTCTGATTGTGTGGTATAATTCGCATGTTGACATGTCATTGGCTAATGATCAATCGGCAAAATCAAAGAAATCTAAACCATCCATAACCACCCTGAGTGCTTATTTGGTCCATTTCTTTTTTTGTTAAAATTTTGATTTAGCTGCACTGGGCAGCTTCCCAGTAGATCAAGGTATGACATTTTTCACCCCATCAGATAACATCACATTGATCATGGAAACCAAGATAAATATCAATATTTCACTCAAAATTTTCTTACATCATTTATTAGAAAAGGTAGGACAGAAAAAATTGAAGAGCATAATATTCTCAACAATAAGGATTTCAGGGTAAAATTCTCTTCAAAAACTTTGATTAACAGTCATGAATATCTGTTTAACCACCTGCAGTGTCAGTATCTATCTCAAATGCAAAAACATAATCATGGATCAATATGTGCCAACATACCCACTATCTCATAACAAAGGAAAAATGCACAAACACCCAAAATTTCCAAAATTTTAACATTAGTAACTCATCACACAATTAACTGATTTCAAATAGAAATTTTGTTTTAATAACTAGAATCACATCTTATCTATCCTCCATAAGTGCAAAAATATTGCAGAATATCAATTTCAATATGACTTACCCAACCTCCTTCCTGAGCGATCCATGAAGCTATCATCTCTTTGATAAAGCGGACAACATGGTTTATGATGAGCTTTAAGAAATCTGCAAAGCGTGATGCGCGTTCCCTGATGCGTAACACTCTCATAGCTATTCTGTACGCAAAACACAATAGTGCTGATACCCTACCCCAGTTTATTCCTTCAGAAAACAATCTGAAAACAAAGTAGTTGAGGATAAAAGAAAACTTAATGGGAGTAATATCTGAAGAAGCAGGTAAAATGTAATAATTTTAATAAAAAGATAGAAATGCAATTTCAAAAGAAAACGGAACTTTTCTGACAAAAATAAATGGATATTTCAATTATATGCATATCATTGTATCCAAGTTCTGCATTAAATACCTTCCACTCATGAAATTTTGGGAAATATCATGTGGCTATCGCCAATTTTCAACATTTGTAGGGAAATTTCAATATATATTGCAAAATTTCTGAGTGAATGGTTAAGAAATTTGTATAAATTCTTGCCAAAGCATTGTTCTCACCAATTCTTGACTTGAGAAAACTTTGACAGAACTGAACTATACCTTGTTACTATACCTACAGACTAAAGGGACATAACCCCTATAACTCCATAAAGAATTAGCTGAAAATTCAACATTGACAGGGTACTGACTTTATAACCTTTAAATCATGGTTTAAAATTCTTAAAAAAAAATCTTTTTTAAATATAAAGCTGCTTGGCAATAAAATATAGGTACGAAAAGGTAGATAGATAATGCTATATAATGCATATGGAACACCACATTTTCATGCCACGCCCTTATGTAACAATCCGTAACAAAACTGTTTTTTGAACCTTGGATATTTCTTCAATAACTTTCAAAGTTTCTTACTTTCTTGCTACACCAGCAAAGACTTCATAAGCAGTGTCCTCAGTAATATTCAGCTGGTTGATCATGTCATTAAATTCGTCAGCATATCTTCTGTTGATGTCATCACCGATTCTCGCTAACTGACGTCCAACCTGTGAAGCTTGACTGCAATCAAAAATTAACTCAATGTCACATACACCAAAGGTAAAGGCATAATTAACCTATTTTTAAATATCAATTAAAATTTTGAGGACCTCTTTTTTCTGGAGCATATTTGATTGAATGCTAATAAATCCAGCAAAAACATAGTGAAATCATGATAAAGCTAAACATACAATTTGGAAAATTACAGTCCACACAAATACACTGCCTCACCAGAGTGAACTCATACCACAATATCAAGTTCCTGTGACAAGTAGTGTAGGAGATAAAGAAGACAAACTTTTCATTTTACATAGCTATAGGTTAAGCACGAAAATGTAGGTCAGGGTGACCTTCTTTTCATACCGACACAGTTTCACCGAGATTAAGTCACACTCAAATATGAAGTTAAAGTGATAGAAAGTGTATGAGGGAGGGAGGAAGGAGTATGATAATTATAAAAGTAATTATAAGAAATTTAAACATATGTTTTCAAAGATATCCCAAATTCAACAAATTCAAGCCTTTAGTACATTAATACAAATTGATGATGTGTTGATAAAACAACCAATCAAAACACTAAAAAAATATTCATAATTTCTTCAAAAAATAATTTGAATACATTAAGTAAAACAATGATTTAGTCAGCTAATCAAGGTTTGAACAATATGTCGATAAAATTTCATTTAATATTGTATGGAAGATTTTGATCATGAACAATACCTCATGGGATCAGAAGTGAAATGAACCAGCTCTGGTATTGCTGGTGTTTGTTCCATGGTTTCTGGATCTTCTTCCATCTGCTCCTGTTGATATCTCTGATACATAAAGTTCCGGATCACATCTTCTGCTTGGTTTACAACATTTTCTTCTGTATCTGGTCGTACAGAAGCCTCTGACCCCGGAGAAACTTGTCTGGATGTTGGCGAGTCTGGAGAGTTCCATCTTCCACCTCCTCCTCCTCCTCCATCCCACGTTGCCATGACAACCCTGTAACAAAATCCAATTTTCATCCAGGGCTTCCATTTTACTCTTTGACTCTATCTTAGGGATAAGTCATTTGTTCTGTTCTTAATGTGAAGAGTCAAAACCAATCTCAATTACATATACAGACAGATTTTTTGTAAGCCAGCAGTCCAATTTAATTTCAGAAAGTCAACAGACCATATTAGGTCAACTGAATTTTGTAGCATCAAATAAATAGTCTAGAGTAAAATCTAAATTCCTCAGGTCAAAAACATAGTTTTCAGTCAAATTTGATTTTAAAGGGGTCAATAATGTAGTCTCAAGTCAAATTGAAGTTACTCCGACACTTAGTCTATAGTCAAGTTTAATGTCAAATGTAACCTCCAGTCAAATTTAATTTCAGCAGGTCAAAAATATAGTCTTGAGTCAAATTTAATTTTGAGAGTCAAAAACATACAATGAAGCTTCAAGGATCAAATGGAAGCCCTTGAATTATAATTTTTAATATCACAATATAAATTTTTAAGACTACCACAAAGTAAAAACAAATTCAACACACTTCAGCAAAACTCTCACTAGAACTAGAATAATTAACTGTAAATCCTATCCACAAAGTTTTAACATTTCCAAAAAAATACTAACATGGGACCCAAAAATTATGACTGTTTTCATATTCTATCAAATGTTTCACCAATATTGAACCAGGAGTACTGTATAAGAACTAACTGAAAACACAAGGTTAGATTCTTTGTGCTATATCTGGACCCAAATATGAGTTTTCATTTCAGTCTGTACACTTCGATTCATTTATCTTAGGAATTCAAAGTTATCATTTGCATGTCAACTGTAAATGTTACAAATTTTTCCTCATAACTTCAAATTTACTTCCAGCATATATACATGTGCAATAGCTGTCACAATATGTAATCTCTCTAGAGTTGCACAAATCTTGCATGGGTGTACTTTTTAATAACTTTACAACAATAACTCTATAACGTTGTAGGGCGGAAAATGCAAGGAAATACTTGGTTTATAATATTTATTTGTATTTAAACATATCCAGGTAAGTAGAATAATATTTATCTTCCTTTTATGTATAATTGGTATCTATTGTTGTAAACTATATGAAACATCGCCTGAATGCCGACCTATGCATGGTCACTAAAATTTGGCATTTAAATAATAATTTGGGAGAAATTCTTACATCAACTGAGACAAAATATAATCGTGGAACTATTTAGAACCCTTCGGACTAGTTATAACTGGGAGAGGACTATACTAACTGATAGATATACCTTCATTGAAAGCATTTTCGCATCTTTATATTTTCGTTTTCATATCTGAACATTATTGAAATGCAGAGACATCAAAGTGCATCATCCTACTAACACAGTATCTGACCCCACCACGGAACGGAAGCAGAAAGTGCTTTGATTTCCGATTCAGCGAACCTGGGGATAACAAAATATCTGTGAATTGAAATGTTTTGTAAAATAAATGGCATTTTTCTGACAATCAAGCATACACAGATACGCAAATATGAATGGATAATTCATGAATCCATAAAATGTCTTAACTTCGAAGATGCTGATCTCATTCAGGCTGATTCACATTGTCACTGCAACCTACAAAGTCAAGCGAGAAGTTTCAAGTCTTATTGCTTGAAATTAAACAATAAAACAAACCTGATTTCTTATTTTTGTCATATAAATACCTTCTATATGGCGAATGTTCTTGAGTGTAGCACGTTATATATCTATGTCATAAGCATTCAGTGTTTCTATCTTAACATCTATTTTGTGCGTCATGATTGTCAAAAACAAAAAGGTACTGTGGAACTCTTTTCTAATGTGAGGTAAAAAGTAAGATTTTACGGAATCGTAATAAACCGAAACGAAATCAATACTCTCGTTGGAGTGAATGATTTACAGACGAGGCTAGTACATGTGGTCAATCTGTTAAACATTAGATGGAAACGGTATAAATCATAAACAACACACGCTTCTTATAAATTTCGTTTGGTATAATACAAATGATGTAAAACACATGTTTTACCAGCAGTCGTCTTTGATTTAAAATATTCTGTCGCCAAAATTAGTATGAACAAGAGATTGGGCAAAAGTTATTACTTATTAAAGCCTTCTCCCATCATTCATCATTACAGATAGGCCAACAATTGTACCACAAGTTGTATCGGTGGAATGAGGGAAGATTATATGATCTACACTACTGCGGCGGAATTTTGAGAATTTGAAAAATACGAAAGCCAGTTGAGAATGCAATTTCTTCTGACCAAATGACAACAGTCTTCGGGTACACGGCCTTAAATAGTCAGGGAAAGTAGAGCAGAAAAACGACATCTCTGCTTAACTTCTCGTATACAAGGCTCATTGGCTATCAATAAGCCCTTGTATTTTGAATTGCGTCAACGGGGATGTGTCTTTGCAAATATATCATTTGTACGTTTGTCACGTTGCGTATCCCACTTAGGTACGTTATATATATATCATACGGTTACAAAGATTATGTATATTCACGGACTTATATACACAAATGTGTATGTGTATGTAAGTCCGTGGTATATTATATAAATATCATAGTTACAAAGATTATGTACATTATATTAACATCATAGTTACAAATATTATGTACATTATATAAATATCATAGTTACAAAGATTATGTACGTTATATCAATATCATAGTTACAAAGATTATGTACGTTATATTAATATCATAGTTACAAAGATTATGTACATTATTTAAATATCATAGTTACAAAGATTATGTACATTATATAAATATCATAGTTACAAAGATACTTTATGGAAAGGCAATTTAGTATACAAATATTGTTGTTTTCCAAACGTTGCAATGGGCTCTACAGGGAACATGGGTTCATTCAATTCATTACAGCACCGAAAGATCAGCAGACATCCGTTTAATACTTTTAAAATATATATGATTTCGGGAAAGATTATTAAATAATTGTACGATTTCCACTACCTGGAAATTTATTAATATAAGCGAAATATCGAAAATATATCAAATTTCTTTTCACTCCTATAGGAACCCATTGAGGGCCCCAAAACTCGCATAATTCCTATTAACTCTGATTTTACCAGAGTTGATAAATGAAAGTTGCGTTTTGTCTTAGCACTGTGACCAGGGATTTACTACTCGGGGTCATTTCTTGTCACAGCGTCTGATAACAAATGTCTACAGCGTTACTTTGTTGAATATCTTTATGAACCGTCCTTTTTGTACCATTTTTTCACAGTACAAAAAGAAGTGGAAAAAAGTGTAATACTGTAAATAAAGGGTTTTTTTTTTCAAATTTATGTATTTGTACCATCGTTGGTCCAAACAGATATGAAGAAAGTGAATATTTGCACCATGGTACAAAAAAAATAGATGATCTACTTGTACTATGCAAAAGTAATTCAAATTTTTGACATGGCTGTGTACCAATCTATTAAGCCGGTAGGTCTCCGTGAAGTGGCTAGGTAATAGTTCGCTTAGCAGGGGGAAAGTATTTCGTCCGCTGAAAGGCTGAATGGCAGTAATAGTGGACGTCAACCAGTTAAACAAATAAACAGATAAATAAATAGATAGATAAATAGATAGATAAATAGATAAATGGGTAAAGTATTTAGTATGGTAATTGATGAAGGAAAACACCCTCTTGCGAGGAATTCCTATATAGTGTCTAGTTTTGTTAACGAAACATTTATATTCATAAAAAAGTCAGCAATAATAGAATTCAAATGATGAATGGACTTAACTCCTAATTTCCATGTGGATCGGGACTCTCGTTATCGTCTATTTTACAAACAGTGTTACTGCACCCTGATATGTTTTCTAAATAAATGTTTATTTCAATTTTACTTCATCAGAAAGAAAGCCAGTACACGAATCTAAATCGTTTTCGTTCGAAGGTACGAATTTTTCAGAAAGGAACGAAATTTGAAATTCGAAATTCAGATCAGGTACAGTAGTCCCAGGCTTCGCTTTCACACCACTTCTTCATGTCCCGTGGTCTGCTGAATAAAACCCCATTACCTCCTACTGCCAGCCCTCTCCTCTCAGTATATGGCATATTTTTTTTCGTTAACTTGACGGAATCTCCGATAGACGATGACTGGTTTTAGTACAAGACCGTTTAGTATTAATTAGAATTTTTAAAATGATTGTTGAAATAACAGATTTTTGTCAACTAATTCTGAATGATTGATTACGTTTTGTCACAGAATGTCATCTCTTTTTCTTGTGAACCGTCGAAGATGTTCCCTCGACCGACATATTATTACGTCAGAAACAATTATTGCGTCTTGTTTATCTCCGGAGAAGATTTTTTTTACGTCATTGTGGAAATTATGTAATCAAGGAATACGGAGGATATTAGCGTCCTCAGAAAATAGAGTTTTGAGATCGAATTTCTGAAGTGTCGATTAAAATCGTTTATTGGAGAAATATTTAAAGAACATTTTAGCTTTTTCATTTGATGTGTTATCCCATTAGTTGTACCAGAGACGTATATATATAGTACGTCTCTGGTTGTACTGCTACATCAATAATCATCTTTCTTCATTTTCAAAACGAGTTACCTCCCCTGTGTCATATTTTCTCGTGTAAGCTAGAAAAAAGCAAGTTTCTGACAACAACTCCTGTCATTTACTAAATTTGACAATTATGACCCGATTTTGGTAACGTTTTTGAGCCCGTCTTGTTTTAGAGTATTGAATTTTTAATTTTCTACAAGAAAACTGCAAAATGGATTTTTTATCTGTTGAATCTTCCAATGATAATGACTTCAATAAATGGTTTAAGGTAGTGACTATACAAACAATAGCGTTACCTTTACACCGGACTATAATATCATCGACTGATTCCTTCAGTCGATTATCCTTTCTCTTTCGCCTTCCATCGATCTGTCATCACCAACAGTTTGTCTTCCTTCCATCTGTCATTGTTAAACCATTTGTCTCCTGGGATCTGTCGTCATTTACCATTTATCTCCTTTACTCTGTCATCATTTACCATTTGTCTCCCAGGATCTGTCGTCATTTACCATTTGTCTCCTTTACTCTGTCATCATTTATCACTCGTCTCCTTTACTCTGTCATCATTTATCACTCGTCTCCTTTGATCTGTCATCATTTACCATTTGTCTCCTTCGATCTTTCATCATTTACCATTCGTCTCCTTTGATGTGTCATCATTTACCATTTGTCTCCTTTGATCTGTCATCATTTACCATTTGTCTCTTTTAATCTGTCATCATTTACCATTTACCTCATTTTATCTGTCATCATTTACCATTTGTCTCCTTCAATCTGTCATCATTTACCATTCGTCTTCTTTGATCTGTCATCATTTACCATTTGTCCCCTTTGATCTGTCATCATTTACCATTCGTCTTCTTTGATCTGTCGTCATTTACCATTCGTCTTCTTTGATCTGTCGTCATTTACAATTTATCTCTTTCGATCTCCCATCATTTACCATTTGTCTCCTTTTATCTCTCATCATTTACCATTCGTCTTCTTTGATCTGTCATCATTTACCATTTACCTCCTTTGATCTGTCATCATTTACCATTTGTCTCCTAAGGTCTGTCATCATTTACCATTTGTCTCCTTCAATCTGTCATCATTTACCATTTGTCTTCTTTGATCTGTAGTCATTTACCATTTGTCTCCTTCGATCTCCCATCATTTACCATTTGTCTCCTTTGATCTGTCATCATTAACCATTCGTCTTCTTTGATCTGTTGTCATTTACCATTTGTCTCCTAAGGTCTGTCATCATTTACCATTTGTCTCCTTTGATCTGTCGTCATTTACCATTTGTCTCCTTTGATCTGTCATCATTTAACATTTGTCTCCTTTGATCTGTCATCATTTACCATTTGTCTCCTTTGATCTGTCATCATTTCCCATTTGCCTCCTTTTATCTGTCATCATTTAACATTTGTCTCCTTTGATCTGTCATCATTTCCCATTTGTCTCCTTTAATCTGTCATCATTTACAATTTGTCCCCTTTGATCTGTCATCATTTACCATTTGTCTCCTTTCATCTGTTATCATTTACAATTTGTCCCCTTTGATCTGTCATCATTTACCATTTACTTCCTTTGAACTGTCGTCATTTACAATTTCTTTCCTTTGATCTGTCATCATTTACCATCTGTCTTCTAAGATCTGTCATCATTTACCATTTGTCTCCTTCAATCTTTCATCATTTACCATTCGTCTCCTTTGATCTGTCATCATTTACCATTTGTCTCCTTTGATCTGTCATCATTTACCATTTGTCTCCTTTAATCTGTCATCATTTACCATTCGTCTTCTTTGATCTGTCGTCATTTACCATTTGTCTCCTTCGATCTCCCATCATTTACCATTTATCTCCTTTGATCTGTCATCATTAACCATTCGTCTTCTTTGATCTGTTGTCATTTACCATTTGTCCCCTTTGATCTGTCGTCATTTACCATTTGTCTCCTTTGATCTGTCATCATTTAACATTTGTCTCCTTCGTTATCTCATCATTTACCATTCGTCTCCTTTGATCTGTCATCATTAACCATTCGTCTCCTTTGATCTGTCATCATTTACCATTGGTCTCCTTCGATCTTCCATCATAACCATTTGTCTCCTTTGATCTGTCATCATTTACCATTGATCCCCTTTGATCTGTCATCATTTCCCATTTGCCTCCTTTTATCTGTTATCATTTAACATTTGTCTCCTTTGATTTGTCATCATTTACCATTTGTCTCCTTTAATCTGTCATCATTTACCATTTGTCTCCTTTAATCTGTCATCATTTAACATTTGTCTCCTTTGATTTGTCATCATTTACCATTTGTCTCCTTTAATCTGTCATCATTTACCATTCGTCTTCTTTGATCTGTCATCATTTACCATCTGTCTTCTAAGATCTGTCATCATTTACCATTTGTCTCCTTCAATCTTTCATCATTTACCATTCGTCTCCTTTGATCTGTCATCATTTACCATTTGTCTCCTTTGATCTGTCATCATTTACCATTTGTCTCCTTTAATCTGTCATCATTTACCATTCGTCTTCTTTGATCTGTCGTCATTTACCATTTGTCTCCTTCGATCTCCCATCATTTACCATTTATCTCCTTTGATCTGTCATCATTAACCATTCGTCTTCTTTGATCTGTTGTCATTTACCATTTGTCCCCTTTGATCTGTCGTCATTTACCATTTGTCTCCTTTGATCTGTCATCATTTAACATTTGTCTCCTTCGTTATCTCATCATTTACCATTCGTCTCCTTTGATCTGTCATCATTAACCATTCGTCTCCTTTGATCTCTCATCATTTACCATTGGTCTCCTTCGATCTTCCATCATAACCATTTGTCTCCTTTGATCTGTCATCATTTACCATTGATCCCCTTTGATCTGTCATCATTTCCCATTTGCCTCCTTTTATCTGTTATCATTTAACATTTGTCTCCTTTGATTTGTCATCATTTACCATTTGTCTCCTTTAATCTGTCATCATTTACCATTTGTCTCCTTTAATCTGTCATCATTTAACATTTGTCTCCTTTGATCTGTCATCATTTACCATTTGTCTCCTTTAATCTGTCATCATTTACCATTTGTCTCCTTTGATCTGTCATCATTTACCATTTGTCTCCTTTAATCTGTCATCATTTACCATTTACTTCCTGTTATCTGTCATCATTTACAATTTATCTCTTTCGATCTCTCATCATTTACCATTTGTCTCCTTTGATCTCTCATCATTTACCATTCGTCTTCTTTGATCTGTAGTCATTTACCATTTGTCTCCTTCGATCTCCCATCATTTACCATTTATTTCCTTTGATCTGTCATCATTAACCATTCGTCTTCTTTGATCTGTTGTCATTTACCATTTGTCTCCTAAGGTCTGTCATCATTTAACATTTGTCCCCTTTGATCTGTCGTCATTTACCATTTGTCTCCTTTGATCTGTCCTCATTAAACATTTACTTCCTTCAATCTGTCATCATTTAACATTTGTCTCCTTTAATCTGTCATCATTTACCATTTACTTCCTGTTATCTGTCATCATTTACAATTTATCTCTTTCGATCTCTCATCATTTACCATTTGTCTCCTTTGATCTCTCATCATTTACCATTCGTCTTCTTTGATCTGTAGTCATTTACCATTTGTCTCCTTCGATCTCCCATCATTTACCATTTATTTCCTTTGATCTGTCATCATTAACCATTCGTCTTCTTTGATCTGTTGTCATTTACCATTTGTCTCCTAAGGTCTGTCATCATTTAACATTTGTCCCCTTTGATCTGTCGTCATTTACCATTTGTCTCCTTTGATCTGTCATCATTTAACATTTGTCTCCTTCGATCTCTCATCATTTACCATTTGTCTCCTTTGATCTGTCATCATTTAACATTTGTCTCCTTCGATCTCTCATCATTTACCATTTGTCCCCTTTGATCTGTCATCATTTACCATTTGTCTCCTTTGATCTCTCATCATTTACCATTGGTCTCCTTCGATCTCTCATCATAACCATTTGTCTCCTTTGATCTGTCATTATTTACCATTGGTCCCCTTTGATCTGTCATCATTTCCCATTTGCCTCCTTTTATCTGTCATCATTTAACATTTGTCTCCTTTGATCTGTCATCATTTACCATTTGTCTCCTTTGATCTGTCATCATTTACGATTTGTCTCCTTTGATCTGTCATCATTCACCATTTGTCTCCTTTAATCTGTCATCATTTACCATTTACCTCCTTTTATCTGTCATCATTTACCATTTGTCTCCTTCAATCTGTCATCATTTACCATTTGTCTCCTTTGATCTGTCATCATTTACCATTTGTCTCCTTTCATCTGTTATCATTTACAATTTGTCTCCTTTGATCTGTCCTCATTAAACATTTACTTCCTTTGATCTGTCAACATCAAACATTTGTCTCCTTTGATCTGTTATCATTTACCATTTGTCTCCTTTGATCTGTCATCATTTACCATTTGTCTCCTTTCATCTGTTATCATTTACCATTTGTCTCCTTTCATCTGTCCTCATTAAACATTTGTCTCCTTTAATCTGTCCTCATTTACCATTTGTCTCCTTTAATCTGTCATAATCACCATTTGTCTCCTTTGACCTGTCATCATTTACCATTTGTCTCCTTTGACCTGTCATCATTTACCATTTGTCTCCTTTGACCTGTCATTATTTACCATTTTTCTCCTTTAATCTGTCATCATTTACCATTTGTCTCCTTTGATCTGTCATCGTTTACCATTTGTCTCCTTTAATCTGTCATCATTTACCATTTGTCCCCTTTGATCTGTCATCATTTACCATTTGTCTCCTTTGATCTCTCATCATTTACCATTGGTCTCCTTCGATCTCTCATCATAACCATTTGTCTCCTTTGATCTGTCATTATTTACCATTGGTCCCCTTTGATCTGTCATCATTTCCCATTTGCCTCCTTTTATCTGTCATCATTTAACATTTGTCTCCTTTGATCTGTCATCATTTACCATTTGTCTCCTTTGATCTGTCATCATTTACAATTTGTCTCCTTTGATCTGTCATCATTCACCATTTGTCTCCTTTAATCTGTCATCATTTACCATTTACCTCCTTTTATCTGTCATCATTTACCATTTGTCTCCTTCAATCTGTCATCATTTACCATTTGTCTCCTTTGATCTGTCATCATTTACCATTTGTCTCCTTTCATCTGTTATCATTTACAATTTGTCTCCTTTTATCTGTCCTCATTAAACATTTACTTCCTTTGATCTGTCAACATCAAACATTTGTCTCCTTTGATCTGTTATCATTTACCATTTGTCTCCTTTGATCTGTCATCATTTACCATTTGTCTCCTTTCATCTGTTATCATTTACCATTTGTCTCCTTTCATCTGTCCTCATTAAACATTTGTCTCCTTTAATATGTCCTCATTTACCATTTGTCTCCTTTAATCTGTCATAATCACCATTTGTCTCCTTTGACCTGTCATCATTTACCATTTGTCTCCTTTGACCTGTCATCATTTACCATTTGTCTCCTTTGACCTGTCATTATTTACCATTTTTCTCCTTTAATCTGTCATCATTTACCATTTGTCTCCTTTGATCTGTCATCGTTTACCATTTGTCTCCTTTGATCTGTCATCATTTACCATTTGTCCCCTTTGATATGTCATCATTTACCATTTGTCTCCTTTGATCTCTCATCATTTACCATTGGTCTCCTTCGATCTCTCATCATAACCATTTGTCTCCTTTGATCTGTCATTATTTACCATTGGTCCCCTTTGATCTGTCATCATTTCCCATTTGCCTCCTTTTATCTGTCATCATTTAACATTTGTCTCCTTTGATCTGTCATCATTTACCATTTGTCTCCTTTGATCTGTCATCATTTACAATTTGTCTCCTTTAATCTGTCATCATTTACCATTTACCTCCTTTTATCTGTCATCATTTACCATTTGTCTCCTTCAATCTGTCATCATTTACCATTTGTCTCCTTTGATCTGTCATCATTTACCATTTGTCTCCTTTCATCTGTTATCATTTACCATTTGTCTCCTTTCATCTGTCCTCATTAAACATTTGTCTCCTTTAATCTGTCATCATTTACCATTTACCTCCTTTTATCTGTCATCATTTACCATTTGTCTCCTTCAATCTGTCATCATTTACCATTTGTCTCCTTTGATCTGTCATCTTTTACCATTTGTCTCCTTTCATCTGTTATCATTTACAATTTGTCTCCTTTGATCTGTCCTCATTAAACATTTACTTCCTTTGATCTGTCAACATCAAACATTTGTCTCCTTTGATCTGTTATCATTTACCATTTGTCTCCTTTGATCTGTCATCATTTACCATTTGTCTCCTTTCATCTGTTATCATTTACAATTTGTCTCCTTTGATCTGTCCTCATTAAACATTTACTTCCTTTGATCTGTCAACATCAAACATTTGTCTCCTTTGATCTGTTATCATTTACCATTTGTCTCCTTTGATCTGTCATCATTTACCATTTGTCTCCTTTCATCTGTCCTCATTAAACATTTGTCTCCTTTAATCTGTCATAATCACCATTTGTCTCCTTTGACCTGTCATCATTTACCATTTGTCTCCTTTGACCTGTCATCATTTACCATTTGTCTCCTTTGACCTGTCATTATTTACCATTTTTCTCCTTTAATCTGTCATCATTTACCATTTGTCTCCTTTGATCTGTCATCGTTTACCATTTGTCTCCTTTGATCTGTCATCGTTTACCATTGTCTCCTTGAATCTCATCATTTAGCATTTGTCTCCTTTGTTCTGTTATCATTGATCACTCATCTCCTTTGTTCTGTCATCATTTATCACTCATCTCCTATGATCTGTCCTGTTTTCCCTCATTCCATCTTTTAATCACATTTGTCATTATTTTCTTTTGATCCATTACCATTAAGCGCCTGACAGTCATTGCTTTCCTGCTGCCATTGACAACAATAATTGTTCACCATTTGCCATTTTTCTGTCATTTTTAACCATTTTCCTTTAGTTTTCTCACACATAATATATTTATATAAAAAAAATACAAATAACACGTTTTTTTAATTCTTGAGTCTTTAATGATATATATATAGAGCAATATATTATTTAATTCTTCATTCACATGATTGTGTTGTGTTTATTTACAATTATGCCCCACGGTCTCACAAGGAAAAATTTCCTTGGTAAAAAAATACATTAAAAATTTGGCTTACATCATGGTTTTTACCCACAACCAAAGTAGCTAAGGTTTTCATTTCTATCATAAACCTGGATAGCAATATCAGCCTCAAAGCAACTGTCACTGTGTGTAACCTGTAACATTTCTAAAATGTTAACAACGATCTAATATAGATATTATGATTGATGATGAAAAGGCTCCTCAAAAAATATATGGAAAATTTCTGGATGTAGAGGAAAGATCAGGTGTTGTACTATTCTACTTGTTGCATGTTACAGACAGTGACACTGCAATTTCTATATCAGTATGTACAGAGATGACTAGTGTCGACCAAAGGGAGATAAAAACTACTGCTACATGAATAAATAAAAGAATGAGAGAGCCAGGGAAGATGAATAATCTACAAACATCTTTTAGTCACATGAAATGCACTCTTGCCGACTTGCCAAGAAGTCCATGTTTACCTTACATGGATTCTATACAACAATATATATATATAAGTGTACACAGTAAACAATAAACAGACAGCACTTGCAAACTACTTATCTGCAAGGGATAAACAAACACAAAACGAAAATCAGAAATATTCTCGGGCATATTGAAAAACGTACTGTAAAATCATACATTTTTGTGGGGCTCAAATTTTGTGGACTTCCAAAATTGTAAATTTTCGATGGCACTTGTTTTCGTGGTTTTAGTCCTGCCCACCAAATTTGCTTATGTTATAATACATATCAACTTTTATCCATTTATAATTTTATTGACACATTAATTGTCACATAAATTGATGGATTTTCAGTGTCCATGAATTCAACAAAAATAAAACTCCCACCAAAATTAATGACCTTACAGTATATTCATTATTGGGGTTCCAGCTAATATATTCAACATGATTGATCCTATCTGCTGTAGGTAAATTTCATTCAGGGTTTCATATCTTTCACATGCATCTCAACTTCACCAATGAAATAACAACTGTTTCTTTTTTTATATATATCACAGTCACGTGCACAAAAACATCTCCTTCAACAAGATAAAATAACCACTTCTTAACAGAATAAGGCGCAGCCAAACAAATTCTCCGATTCTCCAATAACAAAATCATCCAAGAATGGAAACTTGGTCATAATGACATGAAAAAGATATTTTTCAACAAAAAAAAAAAAATAATAAAATAGAACTTAATTCCATATAAAACCAAAAATAAATAATTAAAAAAAAAAATACTTTTTCTGTAACCAAGATTGAATCAACACATGACTGAAATACCTTTTAATAATTTTTAACAAGAAAAGTGATTTTTCTGAAATATTTCAATTCGTATCTATGTGACAACCTGAACTGAACATTTCTGAATTTTACACATACAAACAAAAACAAGATTATCACAAGAAAATAACATGCATAAGTGTGTACATATTTATCCAGATATACAGCAACTTTTGAATTTACACAAGAACACTTTAAAATGATAATATGGCGGTAGAAGAGCTCCAAATATAGAGACCAAAAAGTGCATCCTATAAATGCTGACTATTCTTTTTTACCCCCTGCTTTTTTTTTATTTTTTTTTTTTTTTTATCATTTGTGAAAAGAACCTTATACGAGGCATTTCATGGAATGAATCGAGATTCAGGTTAACATTCGCAAATTATACAAAATGTGGTCAGGAAGCACCACTAATATACTGAACTGATATGGAGATATCCCTATTTTACATCAAACTTGCTGTCAAGGTGCATCATTTAGGCATCTCCGTAAATCTATGATAAGGAACACATTCAATATTTTCATATTTTTTTGGGTTTTTTTTGTTTAATTTTTTTATAAAAAAAAAAAAAAAATCATGAGACAAAATACGGGCAATTTTTTTTTCATATATGACTTTCGTAAGGTCAGGATTCCAGGGACACAATTCTGTGTAACTGACACAGGTAAGAACAATACAATGATTTTGATGATAAAGAAGAGATCAAAGAATTAAAAGATGATGAGGAAAAAGCTTCGTAATTTATAGGGTCTACGAGAAAAGAAAAAAAACATCTTCATAATCCACAGTCTTCAAAAAGACAATGAAATGAACAATGGCGTAAATGACGTGTCAAAATTGGTCCATCAACTTGAAAAAAGTTCCCAAAATGACTTTTCATGATAATAATAATAATAAAAAAAAATAGTCAGCTGAAAATTTCATTTTCAGTTGTTGAATAAAAATAATAATTAATAACAACAATGAGTCCACATTCTTTTCAAGAACATAATTGTATATACACCCAGAGAGATACAATCTCGCAACGATATTGTCCTCATGTATCTCCAGTCATCTTAAACGAAGCACTAGTAAGTTTCATATAATTCCCCTCTCAAACAACGTCTGATAGCATCAAGCAATGTCCTTCACCTCAATACACACTTCGGTGTCATTGGGGCTTTAGCAATTAGCCAATTAAATTCTTACAACATACACATAAGCAGGTTCATATCTTAATTCACTCCACAAAAGATTTTTTCTTTTTTCAGTCCTGCCCATAAGGCTTTCCACTTTCTTGGAGGTCTTACATTCTCTAGGATGTTTCCACAATGTTTTCAACCTGTGAGTGAAACCCTGCTGTAGCTTGGATATCAGGATGAAGCAGGGCTTGTTCCTGTGTTTTTTCTGTATTGTTTGGTTGGTGGACGCGATGATCCACAGTAACCATCTCCATGACCTTTGACTCCTCAGTGGAGGTTACGTCCATGAGTGCTGGGTTGGTCACTATGGTGTCCTTATCATCCTGCACATCCTCCTGATACTCATGGTCACGCATGGCGTGTGGAGCATATGGTTCATACCATGTTGAGTCTTCGCTTTCTTCTCGCAAAGATAATAGCACTCTTGATTTCACTGTGAACAAAGAAGGATTTAATTAGGCAAATCAAAGTTAACAGTGAGAGGGAAAAAACATAAACAAAAATTTTATCAAATTCTAACAAAAGAAAACATGGTCCATGGAAACTGACTGGGATGTACCCTGTTAGGGTCATTTGAAATGGAGTCAATTTTCATAATGACCAATGAAACTATTAATTAATTTGATAATATCTCCGTAATTGAATTGACACCGTTTCCATGCCACAAAGTTGACACTTACTATTCGGAGTGGAGTAAGCGTCCACCTTGGCATCCTGCAAGGGTGGACCCATCCGTGGGGATGGCTGCATCATGCGAGGATTACCGAAGAAAGCTGCAGTGTGCATGGCATGAGAACCAGAAGAATAACCCACATTTAAAGAGGAAGGATTCCATCCACCAAGGAACACCGCGAAACATAGAACCAACACCTGCCAAAAACAAACATGCAAGCATTTAGCCAAACAATCTACCGATGTACCTACACTTTTATATCTTACTGCTTGTTCCTTATTCAATCAAAAACAATTCATTTCCTTTTTTGATACAGTTTCTTAAGAAAATTTCCAAACTAATCAAAGAAAATACATGAAGTGGGGCCAAAGCTATTTTTATTTTAAAAACCTACAATAAAATGACATTTTCGATCTCTCCGTTATACTAAGTGTTTTTTTTTTATTTCTTTCTATCTTGATAACTTCATTTCCCAATTCAGTATTTCAGAATGAACCAAAAATTAAATTGACAACACTATTAATTAACAACTGCTTGTATGCATGAAGTACTCACAACTGGGGAACTATATATTAAAATTTTTTTTGAATATGTAAACAAAGTGTATTTGTATTTTTCCCTTAAAACTAAAACATTAAATTTTGAATGACACTTTTTAAGTAAGTTGAAAAACCTTTCCTTTTTTTCCCCAAAATTAACCAATGAAAAAATTAAGAGAGCATTAATGATTTAATAATTAAATGATAGCCTTATCTAAGGTTCATTCATTAGACTTGGTAACTGTAGATAAAAGAATAAATTACTTGTGTATTTTGTATTTACCAAATATGCCTGACAATGATGAACTTTAACTTTAACAACAACAAACAAACAAAAAATTTTGAGTTGAAATATGTCCGACAAATATTTTGTCTCGATTTGTTATAGAAACATCATCAAATGTCAACTCAAAATTTTTTTGAATGAGTTGAAACAATACCAATCAGTCACCATCACCGCTTTTCTTTCTAAACTCATCACTTAAATTCTCAAGTAAAGTTATTTGTAATGCATCAATTTTTTCTGCCTTTAAATGAGATTTAGTTTCTTGATGAAAAATCCTGTATACTGAGGATGTCTCATCATTTGAATTTCTTTAAAAAGTAAATTTGATTTTTAAGAACATTGAATCTTATAGTTCATAAGTTTTTTAGTTCAAGGAACTGACTGGTTAAATTTCAACTCAATATTTCACCAACAAACATGCAAGGTTAAAATCAGTTATCTCCCCTGTGTGACACTCACCATCAATACTGTTCCGCCAGTCTGGGAGGTTGCTGGACGCGCCACCTTGCCGACCAGTGACTGTAACTTGTGCAGCTGGCCTAGTAATGACTGATTGTTGTGTTCCAAGGAATTTACTTTCTTTTTCAGATCATTATTTTCCTGAGAAAATGCTTCGACTCGTTTTTCAAGCTGCTCCAAATATTCTTTTTTCTTCCGTCTGCTTTCTTGTGCTGAAATCTACAACAGAAAATATGTCAGTTAAATAAAATCAAAGCAAAAAATCCAAGATAATTTTTTGTTTTTTTATTTTGTTTTGCACATTCATGACAACAAAAATTATTTCAAATTAACTTTTTGGTATTTTTTTCCCCATGAAATAAAAAAATCTTAAATGTCTGCAAAATTCTTACTTTGTTTTTAATTTTCCGTCTGATTTTCTTTAAATTTTTTTCTTCTTGCTTTGTGAGTGGAAGTTTTCCTGGTATCGGGTACCCCTCCGATACAAGTGTTCTCTTCTCTTCTTCTGTTAGTAGTAATATGCCTGACTGAGGGATCTGGAATGGAAACATTTTGGTTGTAAACTCCTATCAAGTCAAAATGCTTAAGTTTGGGGATACGTGAAAATCACTTCCCATGTTGCTTATTAAAATTTTCAGAAAAATTTCTTCAAGAACTTGTAAATATTTTCACACAACAATACAGAGTTGTTGGAACTTTCTAAAAAAAATTTCAAAATGAAAGAGCTGCATATATGATAGATGATTATTGCATCACTTACAGGGTTAGTGAAGATGGGCTGGGAGAATGTTTTAGATGATGGTGAGGGATGTCTGGCGTATGGCAGCTGACGGACTGGACTAGAAGGAGCTGAACGTGATGGACTAAGACTGCCGTCACTGTCGCTGGATGCACTGCTAGGTGGCGTTGGCGGCATCATTAGGGAGTCCATGTTTACTGAAAAAATCAGATCATTTATCATCAATAGAAAATACATATGTACACTTAACAAACGTCAACAACAGTGGTTATCATATCTTATACTTGGGTGCAATTTATAGGCCCACAAATACAGTTAACATTATGATTCTGTAAAGAAAAGTATTTTCTCACCTCTCAATCATTATTAAAGTAATAAAAATCTCTTAAACTTTGCAGCTCCATTATGAGATATTATTTTTCATTTGAAAACAGGACATCGTACTAACAGGAAAATACATTTACACAGAAAATGAACTTGTCTGTAAGTTTCAACATTTCCTTTATCCATAAAATATAATTCTTATATAAAAAGACTCCAAGATAAGCCATTTTGACTTTCTCACACAATAAATTCTCTACCTGTCTGTTCCATCTGATTATCCATGAGGTCAAATGGCTCAGCTTTGATAGTGACCGTGGGTGCGAGTACAGATTGAGCTGCCTGGGTGATGACGGGCGTCGCAGAACCAGTTGTATATTGGATCTTCGACGCTGATGAGGATGTAGTAGCAAGTATAATCGTTGGTTGCCGTGTCGTCGTCGAGGTTCGGGTTGTCATGGTCGTTACCGTGGTGAGCATCGGGTCAGCAAGCTCGACAGGCTCAGACTTGAGTGCTGATATGGACTGACTCGTGGCTACTGCAGAGACGCTTGCTGTTTTACTACTGCTTAGATCCAGGGCCTGGGTTGTACTGAAGAATGTTGAGTCCAGGTCTGAAATAACAAAAACTCACAATTACAGCAAAATTCAAAAACAAAAAACATTCACAATTAAAAAGACATCTTTGTAAAGATAAAATACTGTTAATGTCTTGGTAATGAATAGTACTTTTTCTCTCTCCCCTTCGTTTGCTTTTTGGTTTTTGTAATGTTCATATTTTTGACACAGAGATACAGTGTAAACACTGACTAATTTTTCAAATGATAACAAACATGAACCACAATCTCAAAAGTGAATGCATGAAATTTTTTCCTGTGTATGAAATGTGTATGCAAATACTGATTTTTTTTTCTATTTTCACATTTCAACTTATAAGTGCAAGATAGGTTTATAAGTTGTACCTGCCCATGAATAGAAACATACCGTAATCCTTTAAAATAATTTTAAATCTTTCCATGTATGTGCTCAGTAAGACAATATATATCCTTATGTTATCAAACTGTATTGGAGTTCTAGTTACATTTCAAACAAACAATATCAATATTTGATCATGTCAAAAACAGAATTTACCAAAATCATTTGTGAAAACTACCATTACATCCTCTGGTAATTGAATGTATGTTTGCTAATTGACTTGAAACATGACTAGAGGTTGTACTGTACGAGAAGCACTCTCACTCCTGGGTCTATCTGATCAACATATTGTGTACGCCACTCAAATAAATGTATTTCAGGACCTATGTTTAATTTACAGCAAATTACGATATACATACGTCAACAACTGTATGCCAGTAAGGAAAGACGTCACCAATATGGCCTCTATCACAAACACACACTAATGCAAGTAGACCATAGCCAGCAGGTAAAATTTCAATTATTATATGTACTTTCCTTCAACTTCTAAAGTCCAGTCAGTTGGAACAGAGTTAAATTATTTACACTAAACTTACTTTCTATGTAAAGACACGTAATTTGAAATTCATATATAAACCTAGTAACAAACCCCATTCCCTCTCACCACTCCAACTCAAGGGGCCAATCACAGTAAACAATTTGTTTACATAATGGTAATTCAAACTTTATAAATTTTGTATATTTATCTTTTTCATTTTTCTCAACCTTGTAGTTCAGAAATATGTCTGTGAAATGAAAATTTGATAGAAAACAAATCTGTAATTTTAAAGACACAGGATTTTTTTTTGTTATTCCCTACAAATGGAGAGTTAGGGGGTTTTCCCTATAATAATATTAATCTGATCAGGAAAAAAAAAAAGACAACTTCCTGTTGTAAAATCCACCATTTAGTCATATGTTCAAATAAACTTAAAGGTCAGGATTTAGATAACCAAGTTGGGAGACAAAGGTCATGACCCACCCACACTCATGCATAATATAGCAGTGACATTAATCCAATAACAAAAGACAATTTCATCATGGAATTGTTGGCCCTATTTATGGTACTTTTCCAGCCTAATTGTTGTACATGAAAACCTTATCGTATACAATTACAAAAAATTATTTTCCGGCAGGTGTCGTCCTGGACAGATTATTTTAATCTAAGCAGACAACTCATACACTAAATTCTAAATATGCAACAAAAAGAAAGAAGAGGTCTGTTTTTATGTCTGTAATGTTTAATTCAATAATTCATTTTGTTCCCGCAGTCAATGGGTGTTCCTGTTATAGTTAAATGCTGTGTATCATATATGCTAGTGCTGCAGGTCTCTAATTCTCTTTCAGTCATTTTTGTTTACATGATAAAACTAGGTGCGTAATTTAGTTTAGAGAAGGGGAGACAGCATCCCATCTGACATCAACATGTAACCATACAGACTGGTGTATTTAGCTGAAGGAGGGGAGATGGAGACTTCCCTCCAACCCCTACATACACACATTTCATGTACAAATCCACTACAGTCTAATTCCTGTTACTGGAAATGTTTACTAATGAGGATTAGGAGATAGTGACGACCAGGTTAAAGGGCGTAGGTCATGTTATCTGACCTATGGTCAAGTGCTGGTCTGTAACAGTGTTAGGGAAATAGAGCTAGATCTACTCTTGTATATTCCTATATCTACTGTTCCAGAATTCTTTCATCATCATAGTTTAAACTCTAAAAAAAAACTCATTGTATTTTCAAAGATTTCAATTTCAGATTCAAAATATGATGATAGAGTCAAGTGGGTAGAGTGGGAAAGCACATGGAGAAAATTAGGAAAACAGAGAAAGTAGGTCATTAGCAGGAGGGTGTTATCTCCAGCTGTAGACCTGTTGGGCGAGGGGAGAACTCCTTTAGTCAACAGTAGCTGAGTAGTGATGTATACGAGCTGTCAGTGGGGGCTACTCTGTGTCAGGGCACTGCCCTGATAACATTCAACCTGTCCGACTCCACTTTCTCCAAGCACCTTACATCAAACATGGAGCACTTTCCCCTTTTTACATCAATTTTCAACCGTCAGACCAACAAAGGAGCTAGTGTTTTCAATGTTTTTACCTGTAAACTACAGCTAAAAGGTGTATCCGTTTACCTGACCTTTCACCATGGTAGACCAATATATAGATTGATTACAAGTATAGAAATTGACCTTTACCATCCACTTAAAGCTACACATTGATATCTTGCCCTACTTCCTCAAAGCTTCATCACCCACCCACCAGAGTGTGGTGGTAAACATTTCTGATCAGAAGTTTGCCACTTTTCGCTTAAAAAAAAATTGTATATTCGGCAAAAATCATTGCTTTACTGATTCAAACATGATAATCATACTTTATAAATGATGGTTTATATTTTCATATTTAAAACCCACAAAATTCGGAAGATGGTGTTAATATGTATTAGAACAAGAAAGGAAACAAGACTTTTGTTTTTAACACTCCCTACATGAAAACTGTGTGTTCTAACATTTCCAGGAGTTGAATTGCGAGGGCATTTAAAGTTCAGTTTCGAAACAACCATTACATTAAACCTGGTAGATTGCTCAGGTCTCCAAAGTCCATTATCATCATTTGTTTACAACAAATAAAGGAAAGACCTTGGGTGATTGTTATGTTACAATCACATAATTAAAAGTTTGAATAGTGTGTCACTTTACTGTAAGGGAGTTCTGTGTGGGGATACTTGAACACATAATCTGGTGTTCAGTCATGTGATGCGAGCATGTACATCTACATTGCCCCACTGTCTGTCTAGTGAGCGAATATCAAATGTATACAAGTTAAGACTTAAACCATAATTCACTCTAGTCATAGTGAAACTTCAAGCCTTCAAACCTTCTTGTTTTTTCTAGCCTCCGAACACCATCCCCTCTTCTTTCCCCCCCCCCCATCTCCACCAACCTATAAACAAGTCCTTTTTTACACTGTCATGTTACAAAGATAAAGCTGAGCTGGTGCTTCTATCCCGTCCAACAGAGCGTGACCTAATCTAAGCAATAGAAATCGATGTAATGAACCGTGAAAACATTACAAGTTTATTACATGAGGGGCCCCTTATCTGTTCTGTCTTCCAGGCAAACCGCTTGTCTTACAAGGACGATTTGTTTATATCATAGGACAATCTAATGTTAATCTTCTAATCCTCCAGGTATGGAAATGTTAAAAACTTTTATAATCTTCACTAGAGTCTAAAGAATCAAATCACAAAATATATGGCCACACTAAACGAATCAAATGTAAGATGTACATTAAATTCCTTCCAAAAGTTACGTGTACGTGTATGGTTTTCAGAGAGTTTTGGCAAGGATGATCAAATTAAACGTTTGAAAGATCGTAAAATGTAGGAGAAAGATGTGGTGTATTTTAGTGCGTCTGGTCGGTGCAAACATAAATGAACTACATCTGATACCTATAATTAAGGTTTGTTTTTTTCTAAAACGTCCCTGTAGGTAAAGATAGATAATGTCTTGTGATATCCTTACCAAATCAATTTTCTGATGTTTCTCTATGCTTTTTTGTGTATTTTGTCTTTTTTCGAAAAACTAACCTTCCAGACTTTACGCCATTTTCCCAAAATAACATCATTGAATTTTCAGATTTGATCACAAGTCAATTATCCCTGTTGGGAGACTAATATATTTTAACAAACATAGGACCTGATAAGATACAGTTTCTTGTATTGCATCACACTAAAACACACCTTCCACATTCGAGTCCATGTTTGGGAGTCCAAGAGGTGATTGGGGTATTTCATTGTTGATGGAATAGCTATGTTCCGACTGTATCCTTGGTGACGGAACTGCTTCTGTGATCATCTTGTCGTTGAGGACTGGGTCTTCAAACAAACTGTTTAACCAATCATCCATGTAGCCGCCTTCTGAGCTCTGAAAAATCATAAAAGGATAAAAAATTTAATGATAAATCACTTCTTTAAAATTTTGGCATGTTAATCGTTAAATTATACAAATATGCCTTTTATTAAAAACTGTTTTTCCATCGAAAGGAAAGTGAAGAATTTTAACCAGTTTTGTAGCACGGATATATCTTCACCTGAAACTGTCTTTGAAATTTGATATACCTTTACTGGGAAGTAGATATACGCTATCTACACCTGTCTGCCAGTGAGATTGTGGTCTGGACCACAGACATAAGTGCACATGAGCATATATGTGCAGAAATATATATACTAACTTCTGCAAAATGTAAATAAAATATTGATTAATTCTTATCTATATGCAATGAAGAAACACCTGTACCTGTATAGATCTCACCTGTACTAAATTCTTCTGTAACGATCACTTTGATCATCAGTACACCTGTATATATCTTTTTTAACCTTGTACGTACTAAACTTATCACCACCTGGTCCACCGATATAGGTCTCGTCATTAACAGGATTAGCATCAATAATTAACAATTCTATAGCTCTCAAACACGAGCAAATGACCCAATGCTTACTCCTTCAAACATGGAAAAAGTTTCTTTTATTTTGATTCATGGGGGGCAGGAGGGGGGAGGATGGTGGTACATGGACAATATCCATACAAGCTAATATGACTACACCTAACAAGTTTGACACTATCAGACCACTGGGAGATATTTATACTGCAGTCAATTTCAGCCAAGGAAACCTACATATGACCTACTATATAAAATGTATCACGGACATCAACAGAATTACAGATACTGTTTATACGGAAACAAAACAACATGTGAGTGTACTTGCTAACGTATGTGGTCCCTGTATGACCAGGTAACTTGGCTAACAACTATGGTATTATATACCCTCAGACATGTGATCTATGACATATAATTGGCCATATGATTTCTGTCCCATAGGTGTTTGTAACACAACTGATAAAGTATCACCACCAACCGGACATATCTAGGACTGTGTGTTTATATATCTATATTGACCTAAATATCAGCTTTTCATCCGAGGACTTGACTTAAATTTATTCGTACAAGTTTGTTTGCCTATTAAAACTACATAACTGCAATTCAAAGATTCCAGATTCCACTACATATCATGACATTGCTAAAAATAACATCAAATATGATAAAATTATTGAAATGAAGTATCAATGGTTGGAAAAATAAAATAAAAAATGCCCATAGTTGTTTTTTCCAATGATGATAAAAATTATATGTAATTTCCAATATTGACTGTAACATGAGGGTTACAGGACAGAAGATAAGATCTGTATCACTGTTGATTTTCAGTATAAACGATCAATATGGAACAAGGTCTGTCATCTGTAAAACGTATCCGTGTTAACTACAGTGTCAGATTTATTTTCATCTGAGTGACAATGACATCATATAAAGTGTACAACATCGCTACGAGGAAACATGTCCGTGGGACAGTTGTAACAAATAACAATGGCCTCTCATACACTATTCATTTGTGTGAGTGACAATCTAACGAAGCATTCCACACTTGTCATACACATAATGAGCTCACTTACAATTCCGTACAGACTTTTAAATTTGACAAGTATAACAGCTCACTTTAGCCGCAGTGACACTAAGTCTTGGGGATTTCTTTGCCTTGACCTTTAGCACAGCCCTATAGTAAACAATGTCATCTACGGCACTAGCTCAGTCAATTCTAATTTAACCTCTACAAACCAATTTGTTTTTCACTGACGACCCGTTATTAGCTCATTAACTGATAACACCTAATTACAAACACATGTTGTCACTCAAAGTCACCACATACTGCTCAATGACGTACATACAACAATGACCTTGAAACTTTTCATGTATCAGTAATTATACAGACCAATAAAAACAACACACAGAAAATTGTTTGTTAGGGCCGGCAATATTTTCAACAATTGTTATTAGCCAAAGAAAAGTAGAAACAGCCATCTTCAATAATTATCCGCTCAATCAAATGCACGAATTGTTTTAACCTGCCGTTTCTGCTGACGTGATGTCATCAACCGCTGCACTAACCCGACAGCATATCATTCCCCATGGGAAAAAACACTGTTGAAGCAAATTGAATGTCTCAAAATGGAAGTGATTTTTATGCAACTAATACACAGGCACATTTCACGCACTGAATTGCTCATTACTAGGTAATTTTCTTCAAAATTGTTATTATTCTACAGGCGTTGATTTCTATTCTGGCATTGGTCAATGAGTTTTAAAACTTGTTTACTTTTTAGAAATGTTTCCACCTATGTCATTTCTCACATAATATTTTATCTGCTCTAATTATCTTTCTAAAGACACACCCCGAGACACATTGTATATCTTTGACACCAATATGTCTTGCTCCCTTGAATCTGAGAAGACACACCCCAATTGACATTGTGTCTACAGGTAACTTTCAGTCTTCTCTTCAGTCTGTCTGTACGACACGCCCTAGCCCTAAACGATATATAAATAGTTTTGAACATCATGAAACTCACTTTGACATTTCAGGTTTCATTGTCACTAAAGAATCCGTCAAATATAATCCACCCTTCTCAATAGACCAGCTGTAATACAGTATACACCCACAATTGTGATCACTCATCCAGACATTGTGAAGATTATCCTATCAATGTAGTAAGGTTTGGAATCTAAACACTTTCAAACCATCAATAAGTTCATCGGTTATTTAAATCGATGGACGTTGTTTCCCAAATGAATACTTTGATCAACAATTAAATGCAGTCAGCGGAAAACAAAATACTCGTAATTGATGTAAATGATGCAACACATTATTATCACTCAGCCAGTCAATTGAAAATATATTCTCTCCTCCGTGACCTATATTAACAATATATAGCAATCAGCATTACAAAGCTAAATATATGAAGCATATCTGATAAGTGTACCTTTGACCCAGTTCCCATGGGTGCACCTGGTACAACCCCCCTCCACAAACTCTAGCCTCCCCCCTTTCCCCTTCTGTCTAGACAAAACCTACCAGGAAGCTAGCGACTTATGTATACAAGCAGTCACTGACTGCCAACAAGCATTTGGCTAACGTTTTATTATTTCAAACAAAATTTATGACACATTTTAACAAGCTTTTCAGTGATCATGATCTATTGTACACAGTAATGTATCTACCAGAAGATGATAAATATTTCCAATGTACGTTCGAGTTAATTGGCATCGTTTTTGAAAGACCCATGTTGCATGGAGATGCAACTATTTTAAAATCATATTAGTCTACACAATTTCTTTTAAAATCTAAGTTAAATCATAATGACTGGGTGCAGAAAAATACAGTGGGAATTTTATTGTTCAATCTATGTAGTAACCTAGTCTGTATATTATAAATAATTTGTCAGACATTTAGCTACATTAGGGTGTGGCAGTTTAATAAACCGACTGAATCTAAAAACAAGTACAGTTCCAAGCCTGTCTTCTACATCCCATAAATCCCCAACTCTCACTAAATCATTTTAATTATATGTCACTAGAGGTCATTAGCAACAATTACTAGAATATCTAGAGAATAATTATTAACTTTAAGGGGGAGATTCCAAAAATTACCATACTAGGGAGTAATTAGTATTTTTCATTCGGAGATATTCCAAAATTTAACATAAGTTTCTGTTTGAAAACTAACATATACATATGTCTACATATGTGTGCAAAGCCTCATATTTGAGTATGTAATATGCTACTTTGGTGACCTGTGATTTGTGTTAAGGATGTGTGTTACCTTCTACATACTACAAGCTTATATCATGCTTGCCTCCCTTGTAAAAATCAATATTTTGCTTTAAATGTGTTAATGCTTTAACACTTCTTCCTTTAGAATATCATTAACATAAATTAATGCCTTTGAACAATTTGGAACAGCTTATAATTAGTACATAATCTTTCTGGTAAAGAAATGGTTTCTTAAAATGATTCACGTTGGAGAAACAGCAGTATTGCATCATAAGTATATTTTGAGAACATTTCTGCTGTGACAGCACTTCTGATGCCTGATGTAACAAAGCTCTGACTTGCATCACAAATACGATAAAAAACACACAAGTTATCAAAAGGAATTATCTCCAAAAAGTGTGTCTGATATTTGAAACTGCCAATTCATGTTTTCCCACAGAAATCAAACTTTTATTTAGAACTTGGCAGTTGCCAGTATTTCATTTGTGTTGTCCCTGTACACAAAACCATTCACAAGAAATTAGATACCACTTCTTTTAACACTAGATCTTTCTCCCACCTATGCAATATATTAAACTGTTTGACGATAAAAAAATCTGCTCAGGCAGTCTGAGCGCACACATGTTTCAAATAAGTGTCGGTGTAAATTTGACAGAAACTCCTGAACAGGAAACATAACCCTGCTGTAACAGGGAACAGTAAACAAGTTAGCTATATATAATCCAAAAAATTTGAAATTTGACAAAAGAAAAATGAAACTTAGACAATCTTGTGGATGATTAAATGAAACTTTAAGCTCCACAATTTTGAAAGGAAAACTGAAACGAATGTTCATCTCTTAGTCTACGTAAACTTATACAACTTGGCGTGGGTCTTCTTACAAAATTAAACAGACGATAAATGATTGTTTGAGAACAAAGCATTACTGTGACCTCTGACCTCTAACCCAAGAGCTGGGAGATCTAGCGATAATGATCATATGGTGGTTGCTGACTTGTGATTCAAGTGACCCCAAGGATAAGGGTCACTGGTCTCCGGGGCCACTGGCCTCCTCACAGTGTCAGGGAGGGAAACAATCTATCATACATCGTACTGATGAGGCAGATTGAAATTTCATCCGCCACTTAAAACAGCATTTGAACTCTAAGAAGGTCTTCAAAACAAATAAGTTTATAAATGGTGGAAGGTTGTTTACTATGTTTTTATAAGCATAAACATCATCAATATGCTGCTTACAACATTAGTTTTCATTCAAATTTGA